TGTGTATTGTTGAGTTTGCAAAGCTTTGAAAAGCTTGGTTGTAATCTTCAAATCATAGTAGATTGAATTCCTTGGCAAGAGAGGCTAAGATAGAGGACGTAGGTGCCTAAGGAAGGATCAAACCTCTATAAATCTCGGTGTCAAATTCTCTAACCCTATCTCTTATTTACTTTCAATTATTGTGTTTAATTGTTTAGCAAAATTTGTGCTTTATTGAATATTGTTTTTGAAAATTTCATTAAAACCAATTCACCCCCTATTGGTTTATTCCAAATCTTTGAGTTAACAAACCAAAAATTAAAAAAAAATCTCAAACTCAACATCAACTAACCTAAAATAAAAAACATATATCAAACTTAAATATAATAGAAAAATAAGCCAAAAAATGCAAATAAAAACAAAAATCAAATCTATATTACATAATCTATAAATGAATTTAATAAAAAAGCAAAAAATAAGATTAAACAAAAAAAATTCAAATATACCAACCTAACCCTCACTACCACACCCCTATAAACCTATCTTTGGCCACCCATGTTTCAAACCTCAATTCATTGCCATAACAATAGAACTCCTTCAACCACTAAGACCCTCATCTCATCACTACCACCATATATATAAGCACTCACGCCAACCGGAGCCACTAACCACCAACTAATTCTAACCCAAACCACCTGAAACCCATTCACCCACCAAGACCCCACCTAGACACACACAAACTATAAAATCACACAAAAAAAAACCACATCCCTTAGGAAAGGAAAAAGCAACAATAGGGAAATACAAAAAAAAAGAAAAAAAGTTTGAGGTTTGAAGTTGTTTTGGGGCTTGATCTTTAGAAAGGAAGGAGGTGAGGACTAGACAAAGAACATAATTAGAATTGGTGGTTAATGGAGTAACAAAAAAGTTATTTAAAAAGGTTAGAAATTGTAACCTTTAGGCTAAGATCTAGGACTTTAGGACAAGTTTTAGCATAAACTAAGACTAGAAATGAGAAAGATGAGAGAAAATGTGTTACGGACAAGTTTTTAGGGGTAGACAGATGCCAACAAATGGTGGATGACTGCAACATTAATGGTGGCCGGTAAGGCTATGATAGCAGTAGTAGGAAGAGCAACAATCTATTTAAGAAAGAAAAAGAGAATCAATGAACCCATAGGAGAGTTAGGGAGAGGTAAGAAGACATAGATATAAAGATAGAGGAAGATTAAACCTAAAAAGGGTTAATGTGAAAGAAAGAAAGAAAGAGAGAGAGAAATCATATGAGCACCAAGGTTCTTTGCTTCTTTGAGGCTAAAGTAACAAAATTTAATATTTAAATGAAAGAATGAAAAAGAAGAAAGGATAGAATGGGCAATCTATCTCTCACCCTTCTTCACCATACACTACCATTTAATAAAAATTAATGGAGAAAGAAGATCATTTCTTTTTTGTTTATGTTAATTAAGCACTTAAAGAATCATGTTTAATTAAGTATTTAAACAAATTTAAATTTTGAATAAAGAATTTGACTATTTATCACTCTATGTTTTCTCTCATAGATATATTCTTTTATTTTTTGGCAATATGTTTAGCTCTTTGTTAATTATTATTGGAAATAAGCTAGATTTTATGTTGATTATTATTGAATATCTATTAATGTTACTATTGAACTAGATTCTATGTTGACTGTTATTGAAAATCTATCGATTATTATTTTTGTCCTTGATGTTATGATTTTAACATCATTATTTTTAGATACTTAATTATTGATTAAGATTTTACCTTTTCTTTTTGTTGGACTAGCCTCAACATTTTTTTTAGTTTTTACTAATAAAAAGATCGTTCCACTTTTAATTCACAAAAAAGAACTTCCATTAAAAATTAACATTTATTTATATATTTAATTGCAACACCCCATGCAAAGCAAGGTTGCACACTAGTAGAGAATAAACTCTTGCTTTAACATTAACAACAACTTGTTGAAATATCAGCTTTAGGGTTTTCATCTTCCTTTGCATGCTTCCAAAACATTTTTTCCTGTCAAATGTAGTTCAACACATCACTCGAAGAACCTTCTCCCAAACTTACCTTAAAAATTTACATTTAAAAAACTAAATGGTCTTTACTCATTTCTTTATTATTTCACAAAATACTTCAAGAATTAAATCTAGCATACAATAATAGTCACATATTTCTTTTTATTATTTACTTTTTAACATCATATTTTTTAGATATTTTAATTCTTTTTAGTACTATCAAACATATAGTGATTTTGTAATATAAATTTTCACTGTAACTTCTTCTAATAATTTTTATAGATTTCTTAAACTGGACATTTTTTAATAATATTAATTTAAGAGTTAATGTTTTATATACAAATAATAAAGTTTTTAAAATTGGTAAGTAATGTTATTTAGACTTTGGAAGCAATGTTAAAAGATTGTAACATGTTTTAATATTTATTATATAAATTTATTAATTTTTAAAATATCTTAGTAAATAGAATTTTTTAAATGAAATTTTTTGGTTAAATTATGCCAAAGGTCTCTATACTTCATGAAATTTGGAATTTAATCCCTTTAATATAATTCACACAACTTTAGTCCTCGTCCTATTTTGCTTTGTAATCTTAGTCTAATCATTTATTCGATCAATTTTTTGCCATTAAAAATGTTGACATAGCTATTGATTTGATGACATAGATGCTGACTTTGCTAATGTGGTAGTTGGGATGAATAAAATCAATTGTTAAATTATGCAAATGATTTTTGTATTCATGTGAAATTCAAAATTTAATCCCTATATTTGTATGAAATTTGAAATTTAGTTCTTATATTCGCACAAAATTTGAAATTTAATCTTTCTAATAAAAAATATTTTAAATTTTTTAGAAAATTTTTAGTATTTTAAAAATATCAAATTTTAAATTTTGCCACAATATTCAATTATAATATTTTGTCATAATATTCTTTCACAATTTTTAGTTACATTTCATCATAAAATATAATATTTGTTACTGATTTTATCACACTTTTTTATTGTCACAATTGTAGTTATTATGGCCATATGAAAAAAAAATTTGGACAAATCTATTAAAAATCTATCACAAAATTTTCAATATATGATACAAATATGTCACTATCAAATTTTAATAAAACTAGTATTTTTTATTAATTTGTTAAATGAATTAGAGTTATAATCCCATCCCGTAAGAATAAAATTATACATAAAACAATATTTCTATTCCTTTAAATTAAACCCTATTTAAATGATTTTTTATAATCAAATATAGGTTTAAGATTCTAAATATATTAAAGTAATTTACTGAAATTAATGTGTATTAGTTTTAAAATTAACCTTATTATTTAATTTAATATAATTATTTAGATAAGTTTCTGTTGCAAAAACATAAAAAAATTGAAAATGCTTATTGTGATACACGATATTGATGCTTTTGGTTTATTAAATAAATTATTTCCTCATTTTGATTTGTTAGGATTCAAAATTCATCATTCACATAAATAAAAACTTATCCCATATAAGAATTTAGATTTGAATTTCTTACTTTATTTGATAGGATATGATAGAATAGATATTCCATTTATGGTCTATTTCAGCTTCTTACAAATGTAATTTTATTCAATAATTCAGTTCGTTACAAATTTTGTTATATAATATATTAAAACTAATTAAAATAATAATAATTTTGATATATTAATTTAAATTATTAATATTATAATTGATTAATATAAATGATAATATTGTTATTAATATCATATTATTAATAATGAATTATATATAATAAAAAATAATATATTTTTTAAAAAATTTTATATTAAAGGGATTAAAATATTTTTAAATTTTGATATTTTTAAAAAATTTAAAAAATTATAAAAGAATTCAATATATATTTTTTATATTAAAGGGACTAAATTTCAAATTTTATGTGAGTACAAAGGCTAAATTTCAAATTTGTACTAGTACAAAAACTAAATTTCAAATTTCATGTGAGTACAAGAACCATTTTATATAATTTAACAATTGATTTTATTCATACAAGTTATCAAATCAGCAAATCCACACCATATCATCAAAGTCAATGCCTATGTCAATCAAATTGGATTAAAATTATCAAATCAAAATAACACAAAAACTAAATTTGTATGAAGTATAGTATATAGATTAAATTTTAAATTTTCTCAAAGTATATGGACCTATAGCATAATTTGATTAAATTTTTTCTATCCCAATAATAAATCTTAGATAATTTTTCATATGAGAGGATGACCTAACAAATATTATAATTCGCATATGATAATTAAATTATCGTATTTGATAAATACTTAATAATTTTACGTAATAGTAATTTTAGATTATTTAGAGTGATTAGATCACTATTGGAGAGTGTTCTAATTTTCATCTAAATGGGTAAAAAAATTTTATCACTTAAGTAAAATGATATGCAAACTTAACAATAGAATATTATTAATTTAATATGTAAATTGAAATCATATTTTTTTCTTAAAATTATAATTATTTTATATTATGAATTTTTATGTTTTTAAACTAATATTTATTGTAACAAATTAAAAAATAATTTGTTTGCTTTTTTTATTTTTTTAAAAAATTTTATATAAAATATAATCTTTTATTTTTCTTTTGTTAGGTTTTAATAAATTAGTTTTATTTCTAATTTAAACTTATTACATAATTTATATTATAAAAATTAATTAATTTATTAATAAATATATTTGTTAATTTAATAATTTAATTATATTTTATTATAAAATGAATAAATTATTAATAATATTTTACAAATTAATATATTTAAACAATATTAAAATCATTAATTTATCTCATTATTAAAATATATAATTATTTTATATTTTTAAATAAAATAATAATTAAATTTTAATAGTATCAAGTATAATAACATTTAATTTTTAAAATTAATAATTATTAATCAAATAAAATAATTTTAAATCATGCTAAGTGATAAATTAGTATAACAAACACCAGCTTAATCCATTTGGCTAAAACAAAAAATCATTTGGATAGTGGTCGATCTAGCATTTAGAAATCCAACGGCCAGGAAATATGGTCAAGCTGTCTCCACTCCCAATCTGAAAGAGAAAAAGATCCAAAAGATCCAGAATATCAAGCGGTTGCCTTCGACGTTAAGCGAGAGAACAAAGCACACGCGGAAAACAGAATTCGGTATTCGCAATTGGCAGCTTAGAAAACGAGAAGGAAAATAAATCAGACCCAAGTTAGCAACCAAAAAAAAAGGGGGAAAAACTCAGACAGACCGACAATGGCGTTGCAGTGGATGATTCTAACATACGCGGTGGCAGCAGAGGCTGTGGTGGCTCTTCTCTTAACCCTTCCCTCTCCCAAGGTCTTGAAGAACCGTTTGGTCTCACTCATCTCTCTCATTCTGCAGCCTGCCCTCTTTATAGTTCCCTTTGCCGGATTCCAACTCTTAGGTTTTGTCGCCTTTTTCCTCTCTATTGTTTTCCTTTGCTTTTTCAATCTTTAATGATATGGGTCTTAGGTTTTTCATTTTTTGCTTGCAGATATCTACTGGAAGAACGAACACCGCTTGATGTGTACCTCTGAGATCTGCACCGCTGCCGAGAGAGATCGTTACGAGAAATCTGTAAGCGTTAGATTATTCCAATTTTCGAAATCTGATTATGAAATATTGACGTGCTTTTTGGTCATTTCTTCGTTTGCTTACCAGTTTTAGCGACAGTAATAATTCTAAGTTCCTCTAGTGTGTCTACGTCTATTCTATGAAAGGTAGAATGGACAATGGACTTTTTTAGCTTCCTCTATTGTTAATATGTCTCAGCTTCATCTTTTAATTACTATTTTTATTTGGGTCTGCAAGTTCAAGTTTAAAACATCTATATCTTTATCCTTTAAATCTTATTATATCATTGGCAGTATTGGTAGTTGGCTACATTAGTTTTGTTCTTTGACTGTCATTGTGTGAACTTTGATTCTAGAATCACAAAAAGATATTAGGGATTTTATTTATTTCTTTAATTCAACTTTTACTGGCCAAAGAACTATGGATTTAAAAAAAAAAAAAAAGGAATAGCGGTCTAGCACTTTCATGGGATGAAATGCCTTGATTTGGTGAAAAGACAATAACTGTCCTGAATAAGAAAAACGAAACTTTTAAATTTAGAACAAGAAAATCTCAAATTTTTGTGTACATTTTCTTTGTATTCTGTGGAAAACAATGAAGCACGCAGATTGCTTAACGTGCAGGATGTTTATATTTGAGAGAAATTTTTATGTTCTTTTTGTCAAATTTTTATAATTTCTTGTTGCAATGGGACACATTCTAGAAAGATTATGAGAAAGGAATGTTAGATGCACAGATGTACCTCCCTGAAACACATTTTCTGCCGTGGCTTCCTATGCTTTTCTGTTATGCATTTGTGTGGCCAGTTCTCTGGGTCATATATTTTGTGAGTCCTTGCTTTATTTGCAAATTGGCCTAATTCATTTATGGATGTTGCTAGAAGAAGTTTTGATATTTTATCTTTGTTTGTTCCTTGAGAATTGAAATTAAACATTCATGCTTGGGCTGATTATTCATTTACTTGGATCTTTTGGGTGCATGAAAAATAACATTAACCCAAATTATAACAGCAAGCTAGCTAACCCAGCAGCTGTAGCTAACAATAAGGGCTGAAAGTGGGAGAGGCTCCTCAAGATTGGCACACCACCATTGGCACTTCGACCAAGATTACCTAAAACTAGCAAATCGCTTCCCTTCTTTGTGAATATGTTTAACTTGAATCATCCAACTACCTTCTATAAGCTGAACATTATCATTATGAAATTATAGAGATGAAACCTACCAGTGCCTCTCTGCAAAAATCCCACCACAACAGCCACATCTAGCTCTACATGAAGAGGTGAACTCCTAAATGTAGTGCAAGACACTAGCCTTCTTTGTTAATTCCTCAAAATGCTGCCATTAAACTATTTTTTACACCTATATTTATCAAGAAGCCTTTGATGTAACTACTGACGTTTTATTTTAGCAAGCCCCAAAAGAAACATATTAACACCTTGCTCTAATCTAGATTTAACCTATTAAATCTCTTTGTCTATCTTCCCAGGTTGTATAATCATTTATTAGGTGCATGCTTAAGAGCATCAATGAAGATTGCTTTTGGTATATGTTAATTTTGAAGTTATTGAAGTAATCTTTTTCTTAAGGCAAAACTTGTTTGTTTGTGCTCAAAGTTGGAGTCTTAGCAAGTTTTGCATGATATTGATCATTTTATCAACATAGGCCCCTTTGTTGCCTGATTTTCTAATTATATAAATATTATATTGTGTTTGTATATATAGAATTTAAAACTTTAAAACATGAATTTGAAACAAAATATTTATTTGGAAATTGCTTGCAAACTAGATCCATTAACAAAATATTAAGCAAGTAAATTTTTAAAGGGATTCTTACAAAGAATTATTGTTTTTATTCTTGAGCCACGAGGAATCTTCAGGCTTTGAGTCATTTCTTCTTTGGAAGCTTTGGTCTTTTGACTATTTTCTTCAAGCTTCCATTCATTTTCAGTCTTAGTCATTTCCTTCTTGTTTTTAATCACCTCATCTTTAGAGTCTATAGGCTTTAAGTCATTTTCCTTGTTCTTTTCAGATTGTAGATTCTTTTCTTCTTTTTAGACATCGAGTACCATTTTGGTTTTGGTCTTTTTCTTTATTTGTTGCTTTTGGAATGATGAATTGGTAGAAAGATCTTATAGCAATCATCTTCATTATCTTGGGCTTAGTCCGTATGGTGAAGTGCACTTGGGCAACGAAAATGCCCAACATTGTAAAAGAAAAATTCTCACATATGCAAACAAGAACATCCAAAAATACAGTATAATAGTTGTAAGCTGACAAAAATATCCAAAGGCCTTTTAATTCCACGTATTGTCAAAATTCAAACTATCCAACCTTCCCCATCCCCTTTTTGGTATAAATCCGTCATTTTGCGTTGAATACAAAATACACATTAATCAAAATAGTTACATAGCTAATATTCCATGGCTAGAACTCGTCTTTGCTATTACACAAGTCAAAATCTCACTCTAGATTCCGTGGAAATAAAAAATATTACTGATTATTAATGAAAATTGTGAAGGAATCAAAGTTAAGAACTAACTTTGCAAGATCATCAGGAAAGAAAAGGATCCTAGAAAAAAAGAGGGGAACTGAAGAGCTCAAAGTTAAAAAATAAAAAAATGAAGAAAGCAATGGAAGGGAGAGAGAAAGAGGGAAGGTAGCTAGTGTAATTTTTCTTTTTAATTTAAGTTTTTAAGTTCCTTTTTCACCTTATTAGCTGTGGCATTAAAGTCTAATAAGGCTAATTGTTGTGCGACTTCCCTAACGGTTAAGGGGAGTAAAGTGCATTCAAACAAGAGGATGTTATATGTACTTTTCCATTCTTCGTAAGGGGCTTACATATTTCTTCCGTTAAAAGTTATTTAAGCAAAACTACTTTATTCTTTTTGACAGAACATAATTACTTAAGAGTTAACACTAGGTGTAAATGAATTTGAATAAGGAAAATATATTAAAAGAAAGAGGTCATGTTTTGTGATCAATGGGAAAATAAATTAGAAAATATATCTATATAAAGTATAAGACATATCCAAATATCTATACCCTGCTTTTTGGTTTTCTTTAGCCAACTTTGCAAGCCCAGAAATTTCAAAAGCAAATGATGGGTTAAACATTTAGGGAAATATCCATGTCAGATATCCACATTGGAGTCCATCTTTTGGTTTATACCATGTAATTGGGGCAATGGATCAACCGATGGAAACTACTTTGATGTAGGACAAAAAATTTAGGTACAATATTTTCTAGACATCTCATGTTGCCACTTCAAATGATGGGGGGTTAAATAATTTAGATTCCTCAATTCAAATATGCTGCTGCAGATGCACGCAGGACGTACATAATATTTAGTATTCATATCTCTACTTTGCTATCTTTCTTGTTCATTTCTTTTTGGTATTTGCCTTTTGGGTCGTGGGGAAACTAATATTGTTAATTTCATTTCGGTTTTGGTTGTACCAATTGGTACACTCTAGTTATAACAAAATATAGTACATTTAAGGGTGTTTTTCTACCGGCCTTGTTACTGGGTAATACCATTTGCTTTCGTTGGTTTTGATTAGTTTTGGTAAATTAGCTTGTTTTGGCGGTATGTGAATGTGAAATATATTTTGTAATTTTTAACTTATATTTTATTATTTAACTGTTTTTAACCTAATAAAAATAAAACTATTTTTTACTATAACTTGATTTTGGTACACTTTATTTTTCCTAACCAAGGTTCCTAAGTATTTGAATTTCTTTCAAGAAAGCATTTGTGTTCTCTCTCTAAAATTTAACAATCATAAAGTCAAAGTTAATTTTTTTTTCATCTCTTTCTTTTTATTTTAATATATTTTTACATGAGAAAACTCATTTAAATATCATATGATTAGATTAAGTATTTAAAAATATCATCATAAATTGATAATATTATTTCTTATACTTTTAAACTTATTTATGTAGTTTTTAAAGATATTGTATATTTATTTTATAGATTAGTAGTACCATTATATATAAATTCATGTATATTTATAAATATATTTGTACTAAATCAAACTTTTTGAAATGATATGTCAAAATAATTGTTACCTGTATATACAATTTTTATTTTAAGAAAATTGAAATGTTATTCCATACGATATTTAACAATCTTGGGAGAAACTGGTGACTTCCTTGTAGCTTTAAATTCCCAAGGTGGGACAATTAGTGTCGCATCAACATGGTTCAAAGATTATAATATTTGCATCAACCAGGTAAGAAGGAGATAATAATATTGCATTCCTCAATTCAGAAAGCCTTTTGTACGAGGATACACATAGGGCTGCCCTGTTTTTTCCCAATCATTTGTCTCTTTTTTTTTTTTTTGGGGGGGGGGGGTTTAGTACATTTCATAATGGGCTTATTTAGTGCTTATCTGTGATTAATTAATTATATACTCTTCTTGTAAAGCTGGCTAGACCTGATTGAGTAACATATGCAGAAAGAAAACAAGCCCGTTAAATATCTCTTGAATTCATATATTTGACTTGGGTTGCAAATAATTTCAGTTTATGGGATGCTTTGCAGATCTTCAAAGCTCAAAGGAATGTAATTTTGTGTGCAACTGCATGCCTCCTTTATTGGTATGTGCTAGCAATTTGATGGTCTTTCCTTGAGAAAGATATTTTTAGGAGTTTTTAAATTTTGAGGTTATTTGTTTCGGATCCTTGTGCAGGTGTATCTTCCGCATTTGCAAGTATCATAAGGAAATTCAGAATTTGGAGGAAATAGAGAAGAGATACAAGGATCAGTAGTTTCTTGTCATTTGTGTTGACCAGATAATGAGATTGGCTTATAAAAAATTCAGAGTGCTTTTAAAACAAACACAAACACCCAATACTTCTGGAGAGTGTTATGTATTTGTGGTATTTGTATTTCTGTGTTTCATGCCCTATGGCATGTTTACATTATAGCTGAAGCTCATGCATTTTTCTCGTTGAATGGAAATTGTAACGCTTTTGGTTGTTAGCCACGAGGTAATTGCAGTTTACCTGGTTTGCTTGAACATTGGATGTGTGCACTGCGTGGCTTATGGTTCTATTGATAGGAGCCTTGAATATGCCTTATGCTCGCTAACATGTTGTTGACTCAGAGTCTAGCTTATCTGAGCGAGCTTATGCACATGTAAATACAAATTCACCAAATATTGCTGCTAATGATTGCTGTTAATTGAATACCTGCAAGAATATAGATTGTAATCAAGTAATATAAGTGATGAGAAAATATTGAAATTGTTTGTTTTTTTTAGATAATTCAGAAGATAGGAAAAATAATGTTTTAGGAAGTACTGGAACTAAACTAGAGCGGAAAATAGGCAGAAAGATATCAACAATGCATAGACGTTTTTAAAGAATATCATAGACATGGACTCTTGGTGGTTGCTTTTGAAGTAGACTTGAAATAACACACTATTGAGCAATATAGGCCGAATGAGTTGCTTCAGCAAAAGGTAAAGATGGTAGCAATGTGAGATGATCGACTATAAAGAGATGTAACTGAAGTAGGAGAGGAGCAGCAGTAAAGCAATATTTGAAAACCAGAAGAGTAAAATACGAGAAGTAAAGTGGCGAACAAATAAAGAAAACTCTAAATAAATTTTGCAAAAATAAAGGAATGCTCAGAACAACTTTAAAATTAACTTGAAAGAAGTTTGAAAAATACTTTTAGTTGGACTGTCATCCCAACTAAATACAAACAAGTTAAAATAAAGATGGCAGCTAGAGAGAAAGAAAAGAAGAGGTGTAGGAAGGTATGTTTTTTACGCACCTCTATTTATAGTGAAAATAAAGTGAAAGGGAGGATGAATCTAGACAATTTGATATTATACTAACTTCATTTAAATTTCAAAAACTTGGTAGTTTGCATGAGAATTAAATACCGATTAGGAGAGAAGCAGCCTAGGTGGATGCTTGAGTGGTGGGTTGATTGCTTGCGATTGGTCCATACTTGCCCTCTCTTGCCCAGTCAACAGATATGGTATAGGAGGGGAGGGGGGGCGGGGAGAATATTTGTCATTCCTATATCGAATTTGTTATATTATATTTATCATCGTATTCATACGTAATTAGTATCACAAATTCATCTTCATTTTTATTTTTTTGGATATTTAATGTAGATAATTCTCGTATCTTGTAGCATTTTAAAAAATAAAAATATATTTTATTTTAAATTTTTTTATTTTTCTTTTGTATATTTATGTAATTTTTATAAATATATATACTTTTAAATATAAACATATTAGTTATAATTAATCTAAAATAAAATTTATATTATTAAATAATAAATTAATTTATTAAATATATAAATATATATAAGATATACATACATGGTAGGTGTTATATTACCCATCCATGTACATTAATATAATAAAAAATTTAAAATCATATCAATCTTCCTAATCTTTAAGTTTAATATACATCCATATTCTATTAAGTTAAAAATCAAAATTTTTATTTTTGAATTTAGATAAAATTGACATCCCTTGCTTACGTAGGTATAGGTCAAACTTCATTAAAGTTTGAGTCTCAAAAGAGTTTGCCCAACTCCACTCATTGATCTGAATGTTGAATGTTGAAACAATAAAAGTTAATTTTATATTAATTTTGTAAAGAAAGAAGATTTATTATACGAGACATTAAAAAATTGAAAGAAAGATAAAATAATATACTGAACTTATAAATGTTGAGGGTTTCTTATTGTGATATAATTTTAATTTCTATTTATATCAATATTTGTTGTTAAGTGCGTCGGACATTGTTTTACTTATTTATTTTTAGATAATAATTACTTATTAAACAAAAAATTGAAATTAATAAAATGCATATTAATTGAAATTTTCATTAGCATTTAAAGTTTGTTCAATGTAAAATATTCCATTAGCATAAAGTTTAGTATCTTAATGTTAATGTAAAATTAAAAGTCTGAAGATTAAAAAAATAATTAAGATTAAAGATAAAATCACAAAGTATGGTGTTAATAACTTAAGGTGATTGAAAGCATTTTTATTTTGTATGATCTAATGATTTTTTTTTAATTTAAATTTTTATTATATAAAATATTTTTAATTTAGTAAATGACTTTTAATTCAGTGGTTTGTTTTTATAAGACCTACTGAGTTTTTAAAAATAATAAATTTTATTATGCAAAAAATCAAATTTGAAATATGTCACAAGTTAATGAAAATTTGATTTTGAATTACAAAATTATTATCGATAAAATCTGACTTAATCTGAATGAAGTATTCAAATCCAATTAAATTTGAGTTTAAAAATCAACAATTTAAATTCAAATAATGTAAATACAAATAATCTTAATCAAACCTATATCAAATCATATTTGAACTGACATAAAGTAGAAATGGTGTGAAGTTTGGAGATGACTTGAATTGTTTGACTTAAAGTCACTTGACTCTAACTCCACTTAATCCGTAAAATTACCACATTTATTAAAAATTATAAAATGAATACTATAAAGGAATACGTTTTTAGTGTTTTTTTTTTTTTTACAATTTTTAACAGCGTTTATAAACATCATTAAATAATTCGCAGCATTTACCAAAAACGCTGCTAAAAGCGTCATCTATACCTATGTCAGATAATTCACCAACTTGCCAACATTTTTAAGACAAACCCTACTAAATTTAGCATGCAAGATAAAAGGCTTAAACACTATACTATAAGAAGATAAGATTTGGAAGATGCTTGTGGGGGAAAAAGAGGGCATAAAGAGATTACATTGGAAATTATCAAAACATAGTCATTGTTCTTTATGATCTTTTCAAGATACGGCTACCTAAATAAAGCACAATGTTATAATATGATTCATATATATAGTCACCTTGCTCCAGTATTTTTGATAATAATAGAACTTTGAATCCTAATGCAATTATCAGTTTCCTTTACATCATTAGTAGCAACCTATAAGTCAATGATTTAACTTGTTCCTTGCAACTAGAAGGTGCATTTACTACCATGTTATATTCTAATTAATGCTCTATGTTTGTATCACTATGTTAATTTTAATGGTAAAAAAGTAGAATGGATATCAAATTTCATTGCTAGGTAGGCAAGGGAAGCACAAAATTTTAGTGGCATTGTGCTAGCAAGAGGGTCCATAAGTAATGCATTAGGTGCTCATGAAAGATAAAATCCTCAATGAAATCACCCACCATCAATCAAAATATATTTAAAGGATCTCTAAAACAAGAAAAACTCCATACTTCAAAGCAAACCTATTTAGGTGGCTATGTTAAAATAGTAAAGGCCTTTGTTAAAAGTTCGAAAACACTTTGTTTGCTTCAAGATGTCCCAGCTAGTAAGAACGAAAAACTTAATGGCACATATCAAATGAAAGAAGCTAAAATGAAACTATGACCTACTATTCAAATACCTATGCTAAGAAAAATATGCTTATACAGGTTAAAATATCATGGAATCAGTTGGAACATTGAAATTTCAAAAAAGGGAAGAAAGGTATAAGGTTTCTTAAAAGATAATGTGTGATGAACTCAGCACCTTTGGAAACAAGCTCTTTAGTAAGGTGAGAAAGTATTGCAAATAAGTAAAACAAGATGTGTTGAGAGACAACAAAGAGGAAGACTAGAGTAGACCATGAGGTATTGAGTGTAGTGGTAGATGGTAGTAAGTGGTAAAGCAAGGCAGAGTAAGAAAAAGAATAAGGTTAAGAAAAAGATTTAGGAAGAGAGAATTATAAAGAGAGTTTGAAAAGAAAGTTATGAAAAATCTATCAAGGTTTCTCCAAAATCCCTAATGAATTATGGAAAATCCTATTTATAGGTTTCAAGAATAGGAGTTATATATCTTGAGTATTGAATAGGAATAATGGTGAATAATGAGAGAATTGAACATCAGAAAAGGTATTAATGTATTGTTTAATGTAAGTTTAATTAGCTTTTTGGTGATAATCATAATGATTACAAAAGTTCACTATATGTTTTAAAGGAAAGAGAGAAGCACTCATATTTTAAGAAAAGGTTAAGAGAAAACCTCTTAACTATCTCTATATCTGATCCACTAAGCCAAGCTTTTTGAAACATCCTAATAGTGAAATTAACTTAAGAACCCTGCCATATTCCAAGTTTATTTTCACTTCTTCATTTGGTGAAGCATCTTTTAATGGAATAACTTGATGAAACAACTTTTGATAAAAGAGTTTTTGATAAAAGTGTTACTATTATTTCTTGAGGAAGTTGTTCCGAGAATAGTTGTTTTTTGAAGGTGTTGTTCCATGAAGGAGTTGTTCCTTGAATAATTGTTTTGTAAATAGTTATTTCATGAAAGAGTTGTTCCATGGATAACTGTTCTATAAAATAACCTTCATTAAAATGACCTTATCTCCTATTTTAACTTATTCTCAACTTTAATAGTTTTAGTGAAATTTATAAGAATAAAATATTAGTAACCAAAATCAAGATCCATAACCTTTTAAAAAATATACCTATTGAGAAGCAATGGGTCATAAAGTTCAAAAATTTATCCTCTGAAAAAGAGAAAAAAATGACAACTTATCTTAGGAATTTAGCATTGTTTATTTTATCTTCTAATCTACAGAAAAAGGCTTCAAAATTTAATTATTCATAGACATTATAGGGTAATAGGTCTTTAGCAACATTTTTTTTCATGTTTAGTGACATTTATAAATGCCACTAAATAATTAGCGGCATTTGGCAAAAATATCACTAAGAGCATTGGCTAAACCTATATTGGGAAATAGCAACGTTTTAGGAAAAAATGCTGCTAACTTAGTGACATTTGTGTGTATAAACGCTACTAAATTTAGTGGTGTTTTTGGACACAGATACTGCTAAATTCTTTGAATACTCTAAGTTTTATATCTGAAGCAAGTTTTCAAGAAACTGTTCGAGTTTTAGCAAAAGTTGCTCATCGAGGTTGTATCATTTGGTTGAAAAGCCTAAAAAAGAATGTTGTTCTTAAGGGTATGGTACTTGC